ATATATATACCAAGTAGAGCTTATAAAGAGAAAATGAAGTAGGTATCACTATCACTATCAAATCGCATCGATGGAATCAGAGCAAGTGAACGTTGTTACAGATTCAATCGTAGCGACATGTCATATACGTACACCATTTCATCCTCTGGTATAGGCGATGAAAAAAAAAAAAAAAAAAAACAATGAGGCTATACCAATCAAATTTCTGTCAAAGATACCACATACCCAATACAGGTAACGGATTCCGTAAAGAGAAAAAATTTTCATCGCACATCACTAGGTATCATCCTGCAAATTTACATATTTGAATTTGTAGTTTCTTCGTACTATATCCATATTGATGCGTCTGCATGAAGTTATTAACCAAACATCAAACAATATATGTTATGTATCTCGCAAGCATATACCTGACGCAAAGGATACGTAGGTATACATCACTCCACTTGCGTATACTATAGCATCACGTGTTGTGTCTCCCTCCTTCCCCCAACATTAATCCACGCATACCAACTTTACTTAAGCTACGTGTCAAAGATATATCCACGTATCATATATTGTTATTATTATTATTATTATTATTATTATCATCATCATCATACGCATCGAAGGGCATTTATCATATGTAAAACGACTTAAAGGTACAGTATACAAGTATGCCGAGAGAAATTACATAAACGCTAAAAAAGAAAGAACGCGTTCATCCTTTTTCGTACTTTCTGTGCAGTTGGCTCACTCTGTTAGATTTCATGAGTCTAGCCAAGTATCGTATGAACTACCGTATCAGGTATTACATCCTCGTTGTTATTATGATATATTTGTACTAACGGTAGGAAGAAGAAGAAGAAGAAGAAGAAGAAGAAGAAGAATAAAGAAAGAAAAAAAAAGGAGTACTTAGATTTATGTATAGGAGGTCGCTACCGCTGTACCGCGACCGCATTAATGCGCTGTGCCGTGCCCGCCCGCAGATTTCACGGGTCAATTATGCAGGGGCACGCGCGGCGCTCCTCGGGGCTTTGCGCATGCATCGTGTACGTATACACATATTTACATACATACAGAGTTACCGATGTATACCTGGGCCATACGAGTTTAATGTGTGTGTACTGTGTACCTCCGCGCGTACAACAACGCTATACAAATGCACCGAAACAGATCGAGTTTACATGCGCCGGGAGTATGCATGACGACACTCCAATTTCAGGGTTATAACACTACCATACATACATGTGTATAGGTACGTACTAGTCAGTTACATACATACACTTGGGCGGAAAATACGATCGAGTAAAGCACCCCGTGACTCGTGTACTTTATTTCACGGTGATTATACATATTGCATGGGTGGTGCGTAGCTGCAGCATCGTTTACTCCATTGTCGTGCAATCAAACCATTCTATCGTTGTGTTATACCTATGGGTATACGGTGCTCGGGGCTCGGGGCGAGGACAAAAATTCTATCCAAGATATATTTCGATGTGCCCCGACAAGTTACTTTTAGAGTTCTTAAATTGATCAGTTAGTAAAAGCTTATTCCATCATCTTTGCTGACCAAAAGTTACGTGCATGGTGTCTATATGCAGAAGCTGTACAGTATAACGATTATGGGTTATAAAAGACGTAACGATCGGTTTACAATAGCCCCCAACTGCAGAGGGGCCAGTAAACGTTCAAAGGTGAAAAAAAAACTGTGCAAAGTAGGAAAAATAAAGAAAAATGATCGACATTTTACAAACGGTTTTTTACACTTTCACAGAGGCGAATACTTATACATTGAAATGGATCGCATATGTCCTTATCGAGATCGTTGGTTGATATTCAGCCATTTTACAATCATTTAATTTCAAAGCTGTTGAAGCATTTGCACGAGGTGAAACACACAAAGTATTTAAACCACACTACCGCAAGTGTTTACTTTGAAACACACTTAGATTAACAGCGTACTCTCGGCAAGATATGCGAGAAATCGGTAATGCAACGCATGTCATATCTGCGTCGAACAATCATCCACTTTTTGAACGTCTCATGGTTGCAGCATCCTCGTTTCCGTTTATCCTTGAGTAATAGCCGCCTGGCTGGTGTTCTCATGCACTTGTGTACCCATGTGTGTGCATGTGTGTGTGTGTGTGCGTGTACCTATCTCGCGCCGTCATCTGTACTCCTTCCAGTGTATATATATACTTACGAGCCAAGGAAGGAAAGATGGCTTTCTTTCTTTCTTTCCTTGCGTAAGCCATTCACAAAGGTGACGGCACGCTTATGCCTGTGGTGCCCGTATATAATATGCAAATCCTCTATCGCTGAAATTTTTACCCGATGCACTTAACCGATTCCTCATTTCCTCCGTTTATCAGTGACGATCGCGTTGCACGTCATGAACGTACAGTGTTGCGCCGTATGCATCCATACGATCAAACAATTTTTTCATTTTCACAAAATTTTATAGATCGGCGTACAATTCGTGCTAACGTAAAACATTCTCATTAGTCGATGTAAATATTCTTAAGAATATCTTATTTTATTAGTATTAAAGCCCGTAGGTCTAAATGTGTATTTGATTGCTACACCGTATAACGTATACAGACGTTTATATTTTACTCCATAGTAAGTCATGCACAAAGCCTCGTTTATGGATTAAAATTTAATATTGTTCGATAGTGCATTGGCTCTAGCTTTCCAAGGGCACGAGAAACGCGAGCTCGAATTTTATTTCATCCAAATAATTTGTTTGCTGCGAGGTATCGCTTAAAGCTCTTCTCTGATCGACAAAAGTTACTTTGAGTGTCCAGCTTTGACGATGGTTGGAGCAGCGCAGAAAGTTTGAGGGCCACTGCACAAGCCAATATCGTGTTCTATATTTAAAAACCTGCACGTATACTTACCAAAAGCAGCGAATGTTTCCAAGTGAAATACGCACAAAAGACTCGCAAAGCCCGGAGGAATGGAAAACAATTGAAAATACGGGATTGGTATTAACACCTTCCACACAAAAGCGGTACCCAGGAGATTCCCGTAAAAGCCATTTGGCGGTGTGTGGGAGAAACAATGACCACGTACAATGATATGAGATACAAAACAAGTATGCTCGTTCTTTTCACTCAACTTTAGAGAGGCATGGCTTTATTTGATTCCCATTTCAAGCTCATTCTTTTCTTTCTATATCCTCTGATGTAGAGCAGCCGTGTTTTAAAGCATGACGAAAACCATCTCGTACTTTGCAGCCGTTGAAAAAACGACGTTCTCGTGTGCAAATATCATTAAAAACTACAAACTCAACCAAGCCAGAAGGTAAAGAAGCTGTACAACCGTGCGCGCATAGGTGCACATTTAAATTGCCCGTTTGCATTTCGTGAAATTTTTGCGTATGCATCATCCACTTATTTTTCACTCCCACGTCTAACTGCAGCGCATCTTCGTGCATTCGCCGTTGCGTAGGTATAAGAAT